AGAGGAGAGAGGGGCAGAGAGGGGGACAGGGGGACGGGGGTGCAGAGGCCCCTGACAATGAGAGTTAGCCACCGGCCACCCAGCACAGGGAGGGTGCTTGCCGGTGAATCGTGTGCTGCCCGTGGCCGCCCGAGTGGTCAGATGCCAGTGGTCAGAGCAGGGGATGCTGAGCGGCTGCCGGCCCAGTTTGGAGGAGGGCAGAGGCAGCCTCCTCATCGGGACCCCACCGCATGCCCCGTGCTCCCTGGGCTCACTCCGGAGCACTCCTCAGCCGCTCGGATCTGTGAAAAGCGCAGCTTAGGAATGGAGAACTGAACGGTGGGGTCACGGGAGGATTCCTCACATGCGTCTTCTACGCCAGGGGCACCCGCCTGGGCCCTGCGGACACTGGGGGCCGGACGGCGCCCTGCCCGGCACACGGTGGGACGTCTGCCCACCAGACGCCAGCACCACCGCCGCCGTGGCTCGTGATGGCTGCGGAAAGTCTCTGGACGTCACCGAATGTTTCCCGGAGCCACCCCGAGGACCACAGGGGGCGGAGCAGGCTGGGGGGCAGCTCGGAGCCCGCCGCGGTCAGGGGAGTGCAGAGCAGGAAAAAACACCCGCAAACACACCGCCAGTGTGAAGTCACTGGTCCAGAGTGAATTCGGTGAAAGTAAACCCTCCAGTTAAGTGGGAAACGCCAAGCACATTCTACGCTGCCCTTTATTTTAATTTATCTTGAAAAGAAATGTCTGTGTCCTCACGTGACCACGACTCCCAGCACGGTGTCTGCACAGCTAAAAGTGGACATTTGGTGGTCACTCCACGTCCAAATGTATGTTCTGCTACTGATTTCTCTTTGGGCTTGGTGACACGTAATGTGTTAATTCAGTTTCCCCATTTTTATTCCCTGAGCTTCTAGGTTAGAGAGGCGGGTATTGATAGAGCACAAACCTATGAATAAAATGTCACAAAGCCCAGGTTTCCTGAAAAGCCAAGCCCGGGCACGTGAACCTGACCCAGTTCCCGGCAAAGCTGAGCACAGCCAGCGCCCCCCGCAGGAGCGCCCCGAAAGTCCAAGCGGCGCACAGGGCCATGCCGTCTGTCCCACTGGCTGAGGCCACCACCCGGGGAAGCACAGACACGGCTGGCAGCTCCCTCGGGCGGCCACTGAGGAAGGAGAGGCTGGCGCGGAGCCCCCAGGCCTGCCGCTCACGAGGCCCAAACACAAGGAGAGAACCTGCTTTCAGGGTTAACCGTCCACTGTCGCTTCCCAGGGACGTGAGGAATGTTACCGATGAGCAAACAACAGAGAAAACGTCTTTAAAACGGTGCCACAACTCAGGCAGCCGTGAGCCCACGCAGCCCTCCTGCCATCCCGGGTCTCCCAGGAAGCAGGGGCCCAGAATGGGGGCTGTGGATGCTGAGCCCCCCTCCCTCTCCAGGGAAGGCACGCGGTCAGGCCCTGCCTGGGGCGTTGCTGTGGGCCGGCCGCCCTCCTGACTGGGGCACAGAGGCCAGGTGCCCCTCTCAGCCGGGAGCCGGGGACAGTGCGCTGTCCTCCACCGCTCTCAGGGCCACGCCGGTGTTAGGTGAGGTCGTGTCCTCTCGCACGGAGGAAACAGGTTCAGAGTTGGCCACCTCCCCGCCCAGAAGGGCCCCGAAGGTCGCCCAGTCCCGGCTCTGGGTGGGAGAGGTTCTGGCCTGTGCACGCTCCATTTCCGTTTTCATGGTGCGATTTTCTCATCTCTGCACCAGCTCTGACGCTTCCCTGAATTCAGTACAATCCATATTTGCCGGCGGTCTCTAGGGTACCATCAACAACAAAACAAACAAAACAAACCGGATGCCTGGAGGGCTCGGTCGGTTAAGCGTCTGACTCTTGATTTCAGCTCGGGTTCTGCTCTCACGGTTTTTGAGTTCGAGTTCGAGCCCCTGCTTGGTATTCTCTGTCTCTCCCTCTCTCTCAAAATAAATAAACTTAAAAAAAGAAAAAAAACAACCCAGCCCACCGTCACATGTTCTGCCTCCCTCGGTCCTCAGTGACAAGAGGGACTGCGTCTGGCAGGTGAGGCTGGAGGGGTCCACAGAGACCACGGCCCCGTCCACAAGGACAACAAGGATCCATTGCTCGAGCTGGCCCTTCCCAGGCCGGCTGTTTCCTGCCAGCGCAGCGGCCCCCCCACCCCCACCCAGCGTGGTCCCAGCACACAGTCCCGAGGAGCTCCTGATCCCTGTGACCTGCCATGGCTCACATGCAGCAAGAGTGCCAAAGCCTTGAGCTGTCACAAGCCACCACGTGACTCTGGCTCCCCAGGACAGCCTCCCAGGCTCAGAGAGCAGCTGCTCGCTTAGGGTTCCAGAATGTTCTCTGATGGCAAAGGTAGCATGTGTCGAGCACGTACTATGTACCACGAGCATGGCTGTACACGTTGCCTGTGTGGTCTCGCTGTCCTACGGGACTAGTATTTGTGTCCTGACTGCACGTGAGGAAACCGCGCAGGGAGGACCCGAAAGCAGCGTTCGGAAGTAACGGGAACATCCAGGAGGGGATGACCGCCGGCGGGCGGAAGCAACGCGGGCCACAGGGCCCCGGATCCAAGCCAGGAAGGGCCGCGGGCGCACGCAGACCCCCGGCTGGACACACGGTGTGGGACTGGACGCGGGCGACCGAGCACATGGCTCTCGCGCCCCCGAACTCGCGGCTCAGCAGCCTGTGGTAGGTGGGCGGACGGCTTCCAGCACAGCGCGAGCGACACCCGCAGGGGACGGGGCCCCGCGGGCTCCCAGGGCCGGTGGTCAGAAGGGCGCCCACACCGAGGAACACACCTCGAGGGATGTGCCCGCCAGCAGACGGCGGGGACAGTGGCGCCGGAAGAGCGTGCGAGGGCGCAGGCGTGCGCCAGGCGGGAGAGCCGGCAGACACTGGGGGCGGGGCCGGCCCACGGTGCCCACGGCGAGGCATTTGGTGGTGGGCCACCGGAAGGTCCTAAATGGAGCGGCTTAACACAGCTCGGAGCTGATGCCAGCCCGTCCCGACACGGCGTCGTGGAGGCAGAAAGGGGATGGTTCCGAAGATACGGGGGACGTAAAACCAGCAGGACCCCGGGCAAGTAAGGCCAAGGATGAGCTCAGTTCCGTCTCGGGCCAGGGAGCAGACGCCGATGCCATCCACGGAGAGGAGCACACGAGACGTGGAGGGAACTGAGGGCGAGGAGTTTAACCTTTGGCGGGAATGAAGGGCGTCGCCCAAAGAGACGTGACCAGGAGTCGTAGGACGCACGGCTTGAGTTTTGTCGTGGATGGCAGAGGGCTCAGGAGAGCTCTGCCGGAAGGGAAGGACGTGCGGGGAGAGGGCCTGGCGGGGGCTCAGGAGCACGAGGGACGTGTGAGCTCAGGCCTCAAGCGAGGGCAGCACACGACACCGACCTCCTGGGACACAGGCCCTCCAGACGCCGAGGCTGCCGACAGGCTCGGAGGAGCATCGCCTGCAAGAGGCCAGGGGCGCCCTCCGGCTCCGGATCATGGTGACCGGAAAGAGCGCTCTTCCTGGCAAGAGATCAGAGCTGGACGGCAGTGGGGACAGCCACGGAGCGGCACACCCACTTTCCAAGTTTTTACCTTGAAACGGAGGACCAGAGGCAGCAGGAGGGAGAGGATCCGGGCACATCTCGTCTTTCCCACATTCCTATCAAAGGAGACGGTGACGTAGCAGACGGGCCACGTTCCAGGGGTTGGGACACCTGTCGACCGAGACAGGAGGGGGCAGCGCCGGGGCCCGAAGCCCCAACCCCAGCACCCGCCCTCTGCCTGTGGGGTGCTGCGTCTTACCCGAGAGGAAAGGGGGGAAGATGCTGGGGGGGCAGAGTGCAGCGATGGGTGAGGGGACCCTGAGACTCAGCGTGGTCAGCCAGGACTGACCGGGAAGCACGGCACAAGCTCAGGAACGGAGGAGGGGTGACGGGTACCCACCTGGGCCACGGCCGCGCGTCGGCACCGGACGAGTCTGCACCCGTGTGTCCCCGCGTCTCCGTAAATGGCCTAGTTTCTGGTTTTTCAGTCTTTGCACAAGAATCGCATTTATTCTGTACGTTCTCGTGCACAATCTCATATCACAGCCTGTTGTTAGCCCGTGTACACGCTCATGCAAGTTAGCACATGTGCAGTTCATACATGTTGGCCCACGTGCATGATCAGACATGTATGAGTAGTTTTCTGTTCCAGCCGGAAGTCTTCCTTTAGATAAGCGTGAGCTTCTATTTCCAAAATTTTGACGACTGAATAAAATAATCATGTTCAACTTCCTCTGCACCTTCTGCAGACTCACAGTAAGTCTGTACTTGAGAGGAATCAGACCACCGGGTGTCATTGTCCCCAGATGGCAGGGCCCAGGCAGCGGGCTGCAGACAACAGGTCGCCGGGGAAGAGATGGAGGGAGCGTGTGTTTTCTCCTCAGCGTTACCCCTTTTCTGGGCCCGCCACCCAGCCTCTCTCTGGGTTCCCGGCCACCCAGCGCTCCCCCTCGCCAGGGGACTGACGGGGTCTAAAGACGTGGAGAGCACACGCGGGGCCGTTCCCGGAAGGTCCCTCCTCCCGGAATAATTTTGTGTTCACGGGGAGCAGCTCCAGCTTCTGGAGAAACAGAATCTGAGCAGCGACAGCGGGGAGGGACCTGCCCACGCCACGGTGGACGCGTCCTGAGGCTGTGTCCCTTCTTTAGTCTTTCAGGTTGCCCGAGAGCAAAGAAAAGTGGCATCAGGGTGGCACAGAGCAAGGAAGACAAGGAAGACCAGGAGCCCATCAGGTGCGCGTGTGGGGCGGGCAGAGGGCGGGCAGAGGGCAGCGAGCCCTTGGGGGAGCCCAGGGGGGCGGTGGGGGCAGGGGGAGGGGACGCCAGGCACCTGCAAGGCCACCTATGGGGCACCAATCCCAGAGCACACCTGCCGGTCAGGAGCACCACGTAAATGGGGAATCTCCAGCCACCTGATGCTTGGGGGACACGGAGCCAGGAAACGTCCCTCTGCCCCTCGGTGGGAGACGCGGTGGCGCTGGCGGGGAGAGGCAGGTGTTAGCGGTAACACCGACGGCGAATGTTCGCTGGAAACCACGCAGCCGCCCTCTGTCCGGTTCTCCGCCAGGACCTGAGAGCGGCGGGCAGGCACCCCGGGCTTCCAGCACATTCTCCGGGTGTTTGCCACACACGGAAGCCCGGAGCCCGGTCCCAAAACTCCGTAAGATAAACCTGGGCTGTCTCCCTGCGATGTTCATCTCAGGGCCTTTGGAGAAAAAAAGAAATTGATTAAAAAAAATAAAAATGAAAATTATTATAAAAATTACATAAAACGTATCAAAGGAATCAGGTTACACTAATTTTGTAGAATGTAAACTCTGCCGTTAAAAAAACGCATGCGAAACCCGCCGGCCCGGGCCCGTGAGGCGCGCTGAGTCGCACCTCCGTGCGGTAACCGTTGGTGGTCTGCCTGCGTCCTCGGCCCCACGGCCGTCACTGCCCCGGGGAGGTTCAGGAGCGGGGTTAGCCTGCCCTTGACCTCCAGCTGCAGCCAATGATTTTCCTACCTATTCCCCAAAAGGTACTGATGGGGTACCACGTGCCGACACCGTTCCAGGAGACTTAATTAAAATCTCTGCCTCCTGCTTAACACCCTCTCTGGCTGGAGGCTATTTTATGGCCCCGGGAGAACACAGCCAAACAGAACGCGCTTTCTAGCTCTTGAGAAAAACCACGGGTTTATACAATCGCCTTTAAAAACCAATCCTGCAATTTCTCCACCGGTGGCCTTGCATTCCTCCACCGAAAGAGCTGTGATTCTGTCCGAAAGGGGGTCTTTTCAACAGATGCCTGCATCTCACTTGCGACATCCAACATTCCTCCCCAACGCAGACATTCTCCCCAAAACCGCCTTCCTGGGGTCAGCGGCTGACCAGGCGTTTCCACGCGAGGAATTACCTCGGCTCTCCACTAGGTGGCACTTTCAGGGCCTTTTTCTCTGTCCTTTTCCTTTGCTGGAGCAGAGCCTGATGGGTTTTTCCTCAAGCCAGGTTCTTCCGACCCCGTTGTGGAGGCCACCAGGCATATGGTGGCACGACCATCACGTGCGTGTCTTCTGCTCCCCAGATGTCCCGTTCCTGGGTGTGACGGCCAGGGCCACATAACCGGGAAGTACGCCTCCCACCGCAGTGCGTCAGGATGTCCCTTGGCCGCCAAGAGACAGAAGGACGGATACCTCAATGGCTCCCAGTTCTCCTGGAAGTCGGTCAAGACGGAGGGCATGTCGTGTCCCACGCCAGGATGTGACGGGTCGGGCCACGTCAGCGGCAGCTTCCTCACACACCGGAGGTGAGTGGCCGCCTGTCCCGGGTCACGGCCGGCACGATGCGAGGCTCGTTTAGAAAGAAAAGGTGCAAAGGTGCCACCAACTCATGATCTCCTGAGGCAAAAAAAGGAAAACCCTCGAGTGTGTTTTGAGACGTCCGCCTCATTCCCATCTCTGCATCAGGACAGGCGTTTACCAAAGTCCTGGATCGGGATCCACAGTAAGACGCACGCTGTAGCTGCACACACACGCGCATCTGTAGGTTTGTTCGTTTGGCCTAGAGACTGCAGGCAGGCCCTTCACTCCGGGAAGGAGGATGGTTTTTAGCACAGGGACCTCATGTTGCATGCCCGGGCCAAAAGGGGATCAGGACATTTCCAGAACAGCCAATCAACCCGTTAAGTTTTACTCGCTTAATTTAAAAAAAATTTTTTTTTTTAACATTTATTTATTTTTGAGACAGAGAGAGACAAAGCATGAATGGGGGAGGGGCAGAGAGAGAGGGAGACACAGAATTGGAAGCAGGCTCCAGGCTCTGAGCCATCAGCCCAGAGCCCGACACGGGGCTCGAACTCGCGGACCGCGAGATCGTGACCAGAGCTGAAGTCGGACGCTCAACCGACTGAGCCACCCAGGCGCCCTTAATTTTAAAAGAAATATGTGCAGTTAGGTTGTCTTAGCAGAAGAGGCCTATTCTGTTGAGTCAAATGCCACTCGGTGGGCCCTGCGAGGAAGAGTCGGGGTGGGTGGTGTAGACAGATCGCGGAGGCAGTGGAATCGGTCGGGCCACGTGTCCCCAGCTTCTTGCAAAGCAGGCTGGAGGACGCCAGGGGAAATGCGGTAAGCCGTGTCCAGGCCAGAATGAACAGAAGCCTCCATGCAAACAGGAAGGGGTCACGGCATGTGCAGGAATGTGTGGATCGGAGCCTTTCAATGCCCCTTGAAAGGAAGGTTACGTTTTCACTGTGAAAGAGAATCCTGCCGTGATAGGAACTCACACAGGGTCAGGGGACAGAGAGGAAACACGAATGGCTCTCCTTGACCGAATCTCTCAGCCTACGGCCCGAGGCCAGCGGCCCTGGTGTCTCCTGGGAGCAGCTGGCCTTGATCGGAGGGGCCCCCGCAGCCTGCAGGCGTTCACATGCTCGGGGCCCACACGGCGTCCGTTCTGCCCCCGTGCACAGACAGACCCCACTCCCGCTACTGGGACGAGGGTCTACGCCGAGGTCCGCTGGGACCCAGGACAGACAGTGACCCCAAGGCGCCCCCTTTTGCCCATTTGCCCAGCTCCCCGCAGGAGCCACAGAGGGTCCCGGATGTGACCCATGACACCCACCCAGCCTGAGGGCCACCAGCCCTGCTGCACGAGGCTGAGACTATGGCGCTGGCCACCATGACCCTGCCTCCAGAGGACCTGGGAGGGGGGACGCGTCAGGGCACTGAGTCAGGGGCCCTGCCTTTCACGCTCCAACAGCGGCCGAATCCTCGCGCTGTGAGCTGGCGTCTCAGTCGTCCCCGAGGAGGAAGAGGGCTGTTGGCGTGCCTGTCAGTGCCGCTCTGCCCCCACAGGTGCCGGGCGCTTAAGATGCCTTTGCAGGCCCTCGGCGTCTGTGCAGGAACAGGGTGGCGGCACGCGGGTAAAGGGGACGAACAGAACCGAGCGCAGAGCTGAACTGCTGTGTGTACGTTGAGGTAAAACGCACGTCTTACCATCTTAACTACCTTTAGGTGCACAGCTCAGTGGCAGAAAGGCCACTCACGTTCTTGTGCAACCATCCCACCATCTCCAGAAGCTTCTCGTGTTCCCAAACCGCAGCTCTGTCCCCAGTAACACCGACGCTGACCCCCTCCCCCAGCCCCGGCGCCCACCGTCCACCCTCCGCCTCCACCATCAGACGACTCCAGGGACGTATGACGAGTGGAATCAGCCGGTGTTTGTCCTTCTAGGTCTGGCCGATTTCACTGAGCACAGCGTCCCCAAGACTCACCGTGTGTTGCAGCTGTCACAATGTCCTTCCTTTTTAAGGCTGAATCACACCCTATTGTCTGTTGACCTGCAGTTTTTATCTGCTGAACAAGTGCTCATTTATTTTATCGAGTAGGCAAAATGCGATTCCCAGAAGGTGCGAGAATTGGACAATTCCCAGGCGAGAACTGGAAAAGCGTGCGGACGTTAGCTGAGCAGAGTGTCTGAAGGCTCAGCCTTTGGAGGCTGTGGCCCCGGCCTCGTGGGGTGACAGGCCAGCCGTCGCCCCAAACCTTTAAGGCCTTAGCGAGGAGGAGTCTCCAGAAAGATGGCCTTGGCGCATTGAGACGTGGGGTTCCTGATACACCCCCTGTGCTGGGAAAACACAAAGTTCCCGTTATCCCTCTTTTCCTCCAAAGTGTGGCAGCCTTCGTAGGTGACAAGAGATCACGTCTAACGGTGCCGGGACATAAGCACCGGGTGAGCAGGAACACGCGTCTGTGGCCTCCAGGCCCTCCGAGACGCTCTCCCCAGTTTCCTCCTCTGGGAGGTCACAGCCCGCAGACACCCCGGGACAGGGACGGTCAGAGCCCCAGGGGCTCTGCGCACCACAGTCCCCACTTGCCGCGAAACCGTTTCGTTCATTCAAGTCTGGAGGCAAACTCTCCACCCTGTGAGGGAGGGTGGGGGGCTCCAGCCCGTGTCCCCAGCAGAGCTCACGTAAAGGGCGTAGGAAATGTCTTATTTTTCTTCAGGATTGGCCGAGTCTTCCTAAAACTGCAGTGTTTAGAATGAAAACCCAGATACTTTCCCATGTAAATCAGACATTTCTATCAGGACATACTGCGAACCCTCCAGCAGTACGGGAAGCCGAAGTCGCTGTCTTCTGACGATGCGGCATAGGCCCTCGTGATCTGTAGATGCTTCTCGAGCATCCGGGACGGACCGGCTCTCCCCGTCGTCACTTCGAAGGCCAGCCGTGAGCCAAACGAGTGCTGTCACCCGAAGCAGTGGCCACACGCACCTCCCAGGGGGCCGTGGAGAGGGTTCCAGAAAACCCGGATGGGGACAGCTGGGACCAAAGCCAGCCTGAGAGAGGGCAGAGGGCAGAGGGCAGGTGTCAGGGTGGGGAGTGAGGATGTGGCCACCGGTAGAAGAGATTCAGGAGGGAGACACGTATCTCCCCAGGGCCCAGGATCGAGGCACGGCCTCGGGAAGAGAGAATCCACGTGTTACCAGAAGGGGAAAATGCGGGAGACAGTGAGACACTGAGGACCCAGGCCGGCTGCGGGAGGTGGGAGCCCGGCCAGGACGACGACGGGGCAAGTGGGGCAGGAGGAGGAGGGGTGGGTGGGCAGCGGACGGCGGCCCAGGGGGGCCCCCGAAGGGGCGGCACGCCCTGTCCCGGCAGCCAGCAGGGTGCGGGAGGGGAAAACAAGCAGCAGCCTGGCACAGCCCGGGCACGGGCCCCGGGGGTGACTGGGAGCGGGGTGCAGGCAGGCCGGGAAGGGCGGGGAGGCCGGGAGGAGCCGGCTGACCCGGCGGCGGCGACACAATTCCCAGCCGGCACCCGCCTTCCCCCCACCTGGCGCCTGGGCTTCCGCCCGGGGACCTCGCTCCCCTCCCTGCCAGCCTTGCTGAGTGCCATTCCCTCCGCATCTGAGCGCCTTCCCGTTGCCTACAACGCTCTTTCCTCCACTTCCCCACCTGCCCTACGAAGGCCTCCTCGTCCTTCAACGTGATGTCGGGCTCGTCGTGCGCCAAGCAGTGTTCGAAATACCTTGCGATGTTAACCCTCGTCGTCTTCATAAGAACCCATGGAATCAGGCCCCATAACGTGCCCGGTTTGTAAACATTCCTGGTCTGTAGACCAGGAACTCAGGCCACAGGAGTTAAGTACTTGTGTGTCTAAGTGACGGGGCAGGACTCGAACCCAGGCAGCCTGCCTCCTGCATTCCGGGGCCCCTCCTCCGAGCTGTGCGGCTCCCCTTCACCCTGAGCCTCTGTATCCAGGTGGTGAAACGGGCCGGACTCCCCTGTCCACGCAGGGTGCCCTGTGTGCCCCGCTCCCCGGCAACTGCAGGGTCTGCCCTGCTCCGTTGCAACGGCTTCTTCCCGCTTCCACGTATGCAGGGCACCTCACTTGTCCCCGCATACCAGCATTTAGGAAACGGTCTCCCGCCTCCGTGAGTAACGGAATACGTTTTCTGAGGTGGTCAGAGCTCTGGTGAAAATGGAAGGCAGCAGGGGGCTCACTGGGCGCGCCGAGCAGCCCGGCCTCCTCCGAGACAGGAACACTTTCCAGGTGTGACGGGTCCCGAGGCAAGAGGTTCCAGCATGGTCTGGGGGTGAGGGGCATGAGGTGGAAAAGCAGGGCACGGGGAGAGAGCTCTGCCGGGGGCCCCGCTGCCTGGGGAGGCCACTGTGCATCCTGGGGGCACAGGCCGGGGGCGGGGCGGGGGGAAGGTGGGTGTCCCTAGCTGTTGAACCTGCTTCTCTGTGCGTGAGTATCCCCTCCACCTTACTGCCCTTCAAGGAACAGTGGAAGAGTCTACAGAATTAAAATCACCAGCTCTAACCCTGGAAACAAAATACGCAACCTTGGAACTAAGTCGTATCTTTCACTGGGCTTGACCAAAATGAACTTTTTTTCAAAAAGATCACACCCTAGACCCTCTTAAACTTTCCCACTTGGATCTGACAACCTGGTGTATTTTATTTTCAGCTTCCTTCTAGTCCATCCCACACAGAGAGCTGGCTTTCTTCAGAATTTCACTTTGCTTGGCACTTCCCGAGAGAATCGCATTAAAAATCAGTCCCCGTGCTGAGTGCTTCCTACCGGAGTTATCTTGTACTCAGTCACCTCCCGCCACGATCTGGAGGAGGACCCAGCTCCTCCCCCACATCCATCCCATAGGGAGACCCAGGCCATAGCATCACCAGATGCAAGGGACGCTGGGGGATGGAGTCTAGGAGCCCAAGAGGAGGAAAGCTCTATCCTTATCCGGCTTCCGTGGGGTATTGAGAAGCCCTAAATTTTTTACAAACGTACGTATC